AATCTGTAATGTATTTTCCATTTTGTTCGATGACCTTTTGCCATCTCTCTGACAACTTGAAAATTCCACGCTCGTAGAAAGTCTGATCCTTTTCGGCCAAAAACTGAGTTAAGTGAGATTTTACAGCGTCATCATCGTTAAAAGTTTTACCACGAAGGGAGTTGTCCAGGGATCGAAATAAGTGGTGATCCGATGGTGTGAGATCAGGGCTATATGGTGGGTGTAACATCAATTCCCAACCAATATCCATCAATTTTTGCCGAGTGGACAAAGACGTGTGCGGCCTAGCATTGTCCTGGTGGAAAATGACACCTTTACGATTGACCAATTCTGGTCGCTTTTCTTTGACCGCTGCATTCAATTTGTCCAGTTGCTAACGTTCGCGGATAATAAAAAATAACATAATAATAATAATAATAATAATTTTATAATATAACATTTACGAATATCATAAAAATGAGAATGAGAGACATCTGTAACTGAAATCGGCAATTACTTAGTTGCCAACCCAATAGTTCCCAAATAAAATCGCTTTGGCCTACATGGTGTCCCAAAAGTTACGCAATCACGGGATACGAGGGGTTTCTGAGGACATTTGAAGTAACTATTTTCTTTGCAAAAATTTTCTCAGTGGCATCGTTAACGAGTTATTAACGAAAAACCACTGACCAATGAGAGGACAGAGAGCCCAGTTCCGCTCATTGGCCCGGTCGTCTAGCTCCACTGATCTCGCCTCTCATTGGTCAAGTGTTTCTCGTTAATAACTCGTAAACAAAACCTTAGATTGCGTTTGGATGATAAAGCATCCGCTATGGAAAAAGTGACTTCGAATGACTTCAGGGTTCCTCATTTCCCGATTTCCAGTAACCTTTGGGACAGCCTGTACAATTCGACGAAACCGGTCGAACAATATTCCGGAGCACAATACGCCGCGAAAAACCGTCAGAGAATGCAAACGACAGGGACGAGTGTCGGTCGTAGTCGATTCGACGGTAATTAGAGGACGAGTGGGTACCTCGAGCAAGCTAAACAGAATAACGAAAAACGATCGCGGGTTTCTGCAGAAGGGTCGCGCCGGGTTAATCAATTGACAGGAGATTCATGGATTCAGCATCGTGGGTTCGCGATTAATTGAAAGCCACCGTACGGGGGTAGACGGGGGTTCGAAAGAGAGCCCGGGTACAAGTTGGTAAAACTAGACCAAGTCGCGCTATTAATCCGCATATACAAATTCAACAGGGGTCGTCGGGAGCGGGCTTGCTCGGCGCAAGGGTCGCGTCGCCTCGCGTCGGCCAGAAAATCCTGGCGGATGGAGCGAGAAAGGCGACCAATTACTGGCGGAGCGTAGGGCTCCGAGGATGACATTCTCGGAGCGGTTTCAGCGCGGAGAGCGATAGACACGAGGCGTTTCCAATTAAATCTTGCACCGGTCTCGTCGCGCAAACACTTTCTAACTAAATGAGGTTAGGCCAGTAACAGAGAGACCCGGGCGGCCATGTAGAATCCTATATTCAACCGCCACGGTTTCCTTTCTTCTTTTCTCCCTTATTATGCGCCGTCCCGGCGTGCCGAGGCGTCGTCGTTCCGGCTGCTTTAAACGAGACCAGCTCCGATTATAATAAGGCGTCGCGTATAATTGTCGCGGCGTCTTCGTCCGCGTGCACGTAAGCCCCCGACACCTGTCCCGCGCCCTTTACACCGAACCCTAAACGGTCTCTAGCCACCGCCACGCGAGAAAAAGAATATACCACGTGAACACGGACTCCGGGAAATTCCCATTTCTCGCTTTCACCAGACACATTTCTGCGGCTTTTACACGCAAAACGTTGCAACCAACGACGATCTACGAGTCGCAGCATTGTCCACGGCCGCTTAGAAATGCTGAGTATTACTATTTGTGCATATGATTTACTAGGAATTTAATGATCCAGTTATGATCAGTGTCAGAAACGTCGTTGCCGAACAATTCATCATTTTTATTCCGGTGCTTTTAGTTGTAGGTTATATATATGTTACAGATGTCGCGAGGCTCGCGACGACATTACTATGTTGCGTATCAACTCGCATCTTTCGTTGTTTCGTCTGCTTCTTGGCGTCCCGGTGCAGCGTCGCGGGAAACCACGTTTGTAAAATACGTTGCGGAAAGATTTTGGAGGAGTTCTATTATATTTCAAATCGCTTAACTATTTATAAGTGTATGATTATTTTCGTATATTCTGTTGTATGGTGCATTCAATGAAGTTTGAGATTTATAAAACAAGTAAAAAGTCTCGGAACATGTTGATTACAATTGGACTTTTATGCGGATTTTTATGCAAAATAAAAACAGTCAAAGTAAATTATAAGGAACATGAATTAGATGTAAGTGTTTTTCCCCTTCTTCTACTTTGCACGCAAGGGTTCTGGATGAGGGTTCCATAACCTTTTAGGTACGGCTGAATTCTGCGCGAGACTATTTCTCTGGACGGCAGAGTCTGATACTGTATATACAGGGTATCCCAAGAATGTCTCGCAATCCGAAAGTGGCGGGTTCCTCAGGCCATTCGAAGCAACTTTTTCCTTTACAAAAATGTTCTCCGAGGCACCGTTA